TAATTTTCCACTATTTATAAAAATGTCAAAATAATAATTGCCTTCTTTCAGCCAAGAGGTAAGGGCGACAAAAACAACTGATGATGCAGCCTGGATACGCGATGTGAGTGGTTTTGCAACATTTTGAAAATTTTGAAGACTACAGGGCATTCTCGGCACTGGTTTCATAAGTGATTTGTATTAAAGTGTGAAATCAGATACCGTAATGGGGGCCTCATATGATTTGCAGGAGAAAGTAGAAATGGAAACAGGAACAGCCTGGGGAAAAGCTGGTCCACATAACCTGCGTGAACAAAGAGTTTGGCCTCCTCCCGAAAGTGAAATTCGCAAAGGCGCTTTTACAGGTTGCATTTCCTCAAAGAAAATCACTTTTTGCTTTTGATTATGAACCATTTATGCAACGCAGTAGCGTGCATTTGAATAATCAATAGAAAACTTACTGGAAAAGTCAAAAATGTGCCAAAATTTAGACTTTATTTAGCGGTATTCCAGGTACTCGTCTTACAGCTGTTCAGTGGCCTCCCCCTGAATTTGAACAACAAGAACAGCAAGATATCGAAGTCCTTCAAACTCGATTGCCCGTAAAACCAAATCAACGCCAGTGGCCACCACCACCACCCGAATTCAGACGTGAGTGTTGTCTGCTCATTTTTTTTTTTTTTTTTAAGCAGGAAAGCAGCGGCATGTAGTTGAATACCGGTGCAACGATATTTTTCCCAAATTTTTTGCTGACACATGGTGGATACATGCATGGGCAAGTATTAGCTATCACCGTGTCAACCCGTCACTGAATATCTAGAGTGAATTAAATAGCTGTTAATTCGTAGACTGGATCTCCATCTAAATAGACCTGAAGTTGAGACAATGGGAAGTCTGGAAGACTGAGTCTGAGACTGGAGCCTCGTGTACGCGCTAACTTAGTCGGTGTATGTACGAGGCTGCAGCCTCAGACACAACCTTAAAATCTTTGCTTTCTAAGCAATTTCTGTACTTGGATCACTCATATGGATAGACGAAGGCGCACACATGAACATCAAAAACACAGACTCAATTCCTCTATAATTCCTTTTTGCATCTTTAGAAAATACAAATTGGGCTGGAACGCAACAGGCTTGCCAGTGCAATCACACATTTTCACACTGAAATCGAAGCAGTAAAGTCGTTAACTGTATGAATGATCATTGCTTTACACTTACCTCGTGTACTCATGATCATTGCTTTACACTTACCTCGTGTGCTTTACACTTAACCATCGCATAATTTACATAAAGGAAAGTGGACAGTTTCCGTTTGGCGGTCGTATTTCGAAAGTGACATAGCCGTCAGTGAGCGATTTACTCACGTGCACGTATGTGAGTACCATGCTTGCCTAGAACCTGAATTTTAAATGTCCAACTTG